CTGCATAACTACGTACAGTACTGCACATAAAAAAGTTAACGTACTAAACATGAGTGGAATTTGCACCGCAGCGCCCCCACACCTTGATGCTCATGACAAGAATAGCATGTATAGTTATCTTTATTGAAGTGAATTAGGTTTAAATCGCCGTCATGTATGAATGAATGATATTTTTGCAATTTTACACAATAATCCACGGTGATCACATTACATAAAACTGAAATTGCACGTCAAAATAACACAAATCACATTTTCAGGGGAGCCCATATCTTATTAAGGAGAGCCGAGCTCCCCCTAGCTCCCCCGTAGTTCGTACCCTGAAACGCTTTGCACTGTACTTGTGAGGCTTGCATGCAGCTGCTCGGCCATGGAAACCCATTCCATGAAGCTTGTGTTGATATTAATGTCAGTGGAAGTTTGGAACTCTTCAGTGGGAGTCTTCAGCTATTGAATCAGCAGAGCGTTGGTGAGTTTACACACCAGACACCTCAGCACTTGGTAACCCTGCTATGTGACCTTACGTTAAGAGCTGCTGCAGTTGACCATGGAATTTCACGAACTAACTTCAGTAATTCACACGTATGTTTTTATGGTTTACCGGGACTCTCCATAGGTATGGTTTTTATACTGTACAAACAGTATGTTCTATCGCCCTACACCAACCCTATACCTAAACCTATACCCCTCACAGGAAACTTTTTGCATTTTTAGATTTTCAAAAAAAAAAATCACCATTTAGTATGTTTTTTTAAGAATTTTGAATTACGGGGACACCAAATAAATCACCTTGTAAATTATAAATCACGTAATACCTATGTCATACCCATGTCATTATACAAATTTGTGTTCTCATGAACCACATAAACAAGCACACAAGTGAAGAGGCATTAGATTTTCATTTAAGCACTCTAAATCCTGTCATTAAAGTTTTATCATCATGACACAGAAGTGTTATTTTTGCCAGGGCAGTAGCAGACACACACACACACACACACACACACACACACACAAGAAAAGAGGCATTAGTTTTTCATTTAAGCACTTTAAATCCTATCATTAATGTTTTTATCATCATGACATAGAAGTTTTAATTTTTGCCAGGGCAGGAGCAGGAGTGTGTGTGTGGATTGTTCATGTGTCTTCTAATCTGGACATCACGTGTGTGCATCAGTGCATGTCGGTTTGCATGAGAAGAGCCTACATGAGCAATCCTGCACATCCTATTTCAGTTTAAATAAAAATAAAAAAGATAATATTGGCCATAGAAGGGAAGTGAGATTAGGGCTGCTGGATAAATGCACAATTAAATTGAAAACCACTCACTGAAGAATTGTATATATAGTATATATGGAGACTCTTTTATCATATTGGACTCCACAGTATAGGGTTTGAGTTGTGAGGTCAGCACTTTCATCCTCCCATACCCATCAAGGATCCTCATTAATGTGAATTATGAATGTGGTTAATTGATATAAGGCCATAACAACCATGAGGTGCCAGTAAAAAATTTGTCCCTGCAATGATGGAGTGTAAGAAAGGAACAATTAGAGTCTTTTGTGCAAATAGTAATTACACAGGATATGACTATGCATAGGGAAAATATTATGATTGCATTTTTTTCATTTTAAGCTTATTTTATATTTTGTGCTACTATCTACCCTAACAAAAAGTCATTGTCTAAGCCTTCTGCATTACATAACAGTCATCACATTCCCATGCTGTATCTAACTTTACTCACACACTCGCTTCACAGAATTAAACAGATACAGAAATAATCTGTGACGTCATAATGTGTGTAATCAAGTGTTTTGCTAGCTCTGCACTCCAGTGTTTTAAAATAACAGACTTTTCAGTATTAAATCATTTTAAGATTAATTCCTTGCACTTGGTAAACATGATTTTGTACATGCTGTGAAAATTCCACTGAACATATGGTTTGTTAGACGTGCACCATTTTATTCCCCCCATTTGAGAAACAGATGTTGCTTGATTGACATTTCTCTAATTCCTTGTAGTTAACACATGATTAGAAGTGTCTGCATGGTCCATATGCATCCTGGTGATCATATAAAATATAATTGTTATCTGTAACTCATTAAACTGTGTCAGGGTGTTAGAAAAGCCATGGCGTCCAGGGAAAGATTTACATGAATAAAGGGATTAGCATCCATGGAAGGCAGCTGAATTAAACATGTAATTTAATGCAGCTCTCTGGGCATTGCATCATTAATCTGCCCTCATTTTGGTGCAACATTTCCACCACTAGAACAACCTCACAGTTTCAGCGAGCATCACCAATATGAATCAGTGCCTTGCCTGTTTTTCAGGAATTCTGTGACGATCGTAAACCTCAATGGAGCTCGGGCAGCTGAATGAAACGTGAAAGACTTTCTCAACTGGAAGGAAATGTTCTATGTGCCGTTAGGCCCCATAATGCACACAGGAAAGCACAAAATCACAAAAGCAAAAATATTGGTTGCGAAAGCGCACGTTTTGAAATTTTCTCTCAGTTTTAACATCAGTTTATGGCATTAGATTTAATAAGGTTACATTTCAAAGCAAAGCTTTGAAGTTTGTAGCATGTAGTTCAGTGTGCTTACCTTCCTACTCACATTCCTCTTGACCAAACAAATGTAAGATTAACAGCTTTTGGCATGAACTTGTCACAATTTAACATCAAAAGAAGACATTAATACTTTCATATTGAGTCAGAATGCAGCTCTCTTCTATCCTGATTACTAAGGCTTTGCTAATGTCTAAATTTGGCATGGCAGAGTGCATTTCTAATTATCTGCTCAGAACTATTACTGCAGTCATGGCTAAAGTCCCTTTCTGATGGATCCACCAGACAGATTGGAACATTTAATTGCTGGTGTGACCCATTTTGTAAGTGCTATGAAGCCCATTGGCTGGAAATAACTACACCATTAGCTCTGAGAAGCATTCTTTAAATTAGCATTCAGGCAAAGTGTTTAATATGGCACCAACTATGAGCAATGTGGTGCGCTTTGGTCATGACAGAGATTGTCTATTTCATGTGAGCAAAGTGCATATGTTATGTGGATACAGAAGGAAGACATGCAGGTGGACAGAAATGGTGTCCCACATTCATTGTATGTTCAATTTGATACAAACAGCTTTACTAAATCACCATTTTTATGAAATGGGTGTATTGTGCACTAGTAAGAAGTCATTTAGCTGAGTCACTGAGCCAAAGTGATTTATTGTACACTTAATACGAAGGACAGTCTCCCTGGAGTAACGTGGGGTTAAGCGTCTTGCACAAAAGTACAGTTCATGAGTGTACAGTTCATGAATTTCCCCTTGCAGGATTGAGCTTCCAATCATTCTAGATAAAGTAAGCCAGCCACCGCACTAAAACATTTTTTAAAACATAATTTCAAAATCCTATTGTGATTTGGTTCTAAATCATTTTTTACTCATAGATACTCTTATAATGAGAAGTCTTTCCAGAATTTCTCTAGCAACGGCATTCCCTTGAGACTAAACTGCCCACCAAAGTGTCTGTGGCTTCCAAATAAGGGCCTTTAATATGCAGTGTGCCGGGTCAAGATAATGACTCGCCACACACCTGTAATTGAGCAATTCGTCTTTTTCCCAGCCAATACAGTGCAATAATCTCTCTATATAGAACTGATTCAGTAAATGCCACGCGTCTCTTTGGATGCCGAATAAATGCATTTGCATTATAATGTGATGAGTACCTACAGAGCGGGTGTTGCAATATGCCACACTGCTCATTGCCTGTGGTGATTCATTGCCAGAGTAACAAAATGCAACCGCTCATTGTGAATATGATCTTTATCCACCCATTTTCTTTATGTTTTCTAGTTAAGAGGTTTGAGCCTTATTATTGATTAGGCAGATTCTTTTGCATGAAACTGAAGGTTTCAGTGAAGGAAAGTGTTATATCTTATCTGTTATATAACATGAATAATACGTTGAGACGAGTGCTGTGTCAACTCACTTCTAATTTACTGAGAACTCTGAAGTCTTTTTCTTCATTGATAACATAACATACACACGGTAGTGATCTTGAGCGCCTCCTAGTGCGCTGAAACATTAAGCACATACATCACATTTCCCTCCCCACTTAGTGTTGTTGTAATCATTTCAGTAACAATGTTACATACACTTAACATAGACAAAGATGGATCTCTTTCTTTTCCTTTTACATGTCCACATATACATAGATATTTGCCTGTATAATGTAGCACTCATAGTAATACCAAAATATAGAACAACTATAATAAAACACTAGAATCTTAAATGGTAGAATCATTCAATGAACTGTGTTGTGCTTATTCTTTAAATTAAACTCAGCACCATGACTGTTAACATACAACCAATGGAATTGGTTTATACCATCAAGGTAAGCCTTATGGGCTAAACCGTACTGGAGGCTTGATGGTACGTTCAGGATAGCGCTTAGCCTCTTTGTGTGGAGTGTGTAACACCACCTCATTGTCCCTAGTGGCTGAATCTTCTGATTGTGCTAATCCTGTTGGAATTTGATCAAGACTAGGACGTGATGTCTCTCCTGAGATCGGATGTTCACACAAATCTGTCAGATTCCCCTCAGGGACTTCAATGGTCTCTGGACCAATCTCATCTCCATTGTCGCAATCATCCTGATGTGCCAAAATTTGATCAACATGACGCCTCCAATGAACTGAAAGTCCTACATCGACAGTGTATGATACTGGGCCTGTCTTTGCTAACACCACACCAGGCATCCACTTCTTTCCTCGCCAATAATCATGAACTAATACCTTGTCACCCATTGCAAATGTTCTTTCTTTCGCATGAACTTGACGTCGCTTCCCGCATATATAATAATCCCATATCATAGTATTAATCACGTGGCAGCTCTCATGGTGAAATGGGAAGTATTCAAAATCAGTTCTCTGTAATTGTAAGTAAGCGTTGCACATGCACGTGTACAGTGAGAGTGGAGAAGCGCAGTCAGTCAAGCGCGCTGTGTGGGGCGGTCTCTGCTCAGAGATGTCTGAATATGTCAAGAATCACTTCAGCTGCCGCACGCTTTCAAACAGCACTCCATCTCGTCCAGTGCCGCTACGAGGGAAGAGTTTCATATTTGCCGTTTAGCTTCATAAGATTATGAGGAATTCCTTTGCGATTGCCGTGCGTAACGAGCCTACAGTGCACAGGAGTGAAGGAAGAACAGCTGGAGCGCTGTCCAGGGTCCTGAAGTCAAGAAGCCAGAGGTGCTGAAGAGAGCACGGGCATTCAGAAAGGACTGTATGTCTATGCCAATCAAGCCTTGAGATGACTTGGAAAAGGCTGCGTTCTGTGGCTGTCTGGGGATTCATTGCGTGGCAAATAGGAATTCTGTTGAGGTAAGAGCAAATATGTTCCCTGGCGGAGGAAAGAGTAATGAAAGTTTTTTATACAGTTTGATGTCGGGATTTTTTAGCTGACGAGCTGTGGAGGTTGAAAGTATCAAAAGCCTGTGCCAAACAGAGTCATTTGAAAATCAGATTCTATTCTTTTGTTTTATGTGAATCTTTTACTTCATGTTAATTTATCACTACAGAAGGCTATGCTGTAATGAATAGTTCTTGTGTCACCACTGTGTTCATTATAGCTATTGATGGCAGGTAAAGTTTTTAAGCAGCTTTTTCTCAGTGTAACAGGTGATATCTTGCCATTTTCATTTAAAGCCCGGGAATAATTCTTAAAAGTACTGCTTTCTGAAGTAAAACAGACTTTTCATCATTTATGTGATTCAATTATGCTGTTTTAGATAAATGTACATGATGCTTTTGTGCCCAAATGTCAGAAATGTTAAAATACTAATGGAAATGGAAAACAAAATAGAAAATGCTCCAAAGTTAAGAAAAGGTAATAGGCACTTGATCAATAATTATCTCCTCCTTCATATAGAAATAAATGGTTTGCAGGAAGTAAATGGATCTTTCAGTATGATTCAACAAGAAGTATGTTATGTTTTTTTTTTTGTTGGACTCCTGATAGTACATCCCAGTGAAACTTTACCTTCATACAGTATGAATCCTGACTGATATTCATTCAAGCGCAGTCACAAATCTCTTAGTTTGGGTGATTATTTTGACTCTTTTTTTTCCACCACTCTTCAGTCCGGACTTACAAGTAGCTCTGAAATATGAAATTGGCGCAGATGAGAGTTCTGTGTCCCTTTGAACTGCACTGAATCCTCACAAGTCTTTTAGCTGATGATGCTATGATTTTTTTATGTTTCATTTGTCGACGATCCTTGGGCCCACGCAAGCGTAACGCCTTGCATTATTGATATGTTGGCACTGTCTATGTCGCCTTTGTATTGGTTGCCATTCAGTGTTCCTTGAGGGAGAGTTTTTACCTAAAGCCATTACTTAGGATATAGTTTTCAAAGAAAAGCACGAAATGCCTCATTCCACAATTCAGAATTAATTACAGTGTACAGGAAACATTCATCCTTCAAATCGAACTTAGAATGTGTTATGTTGCAAATAACTTTTTACAAGAGCTTCTCACCAATAAGATTGATCTTCAGAGATGGCAAAGGCTTTATGGACAGAGAATAGCTTAGCAGAGGAGGTGGAAAAGGAGTATAGTTTGATATCATGCAACAATGGCTCAGCTTCACTTCACAACAGGTGCAGTGTCAGCAAACAAGGTGTTGAGTGGTAGTCGTCTGAGTTTCCTCTCGATGCGCTTATATCTTGGTGCAAAGATTTTATCCGCAGGCTCTGTAGACTGTGGAAAGTGTCTCCTCGACTCTTTCTGATTTTCACAGCTGATAGAATCTTGTTCAGTCTCATTAATGTGTTAATAGTGATGTGTGTCCTGGCAAAGCACATTTGTCATTTTCTTTGATGATTTACATCCTTTGATCCGCTTGAATTGAAATGCTTGAATAAAAATACCCACCATTATATACAATGTATTATATACAGACTTTGGTGTACCATAAATCCTCTTAGCACATAATAATTCATTAAGATACTCTTCAAAATGCCGATAATTTAATGAGGGATGTTTTGGTTCTTTATCAGTTGACAGCAGCTGTAGAACGTCAATAGATGAATAAAATGCTTGTTTCCTATGAAACAATACAGTTGAAAAGTATCAAAATTAGCTGGATTAAGTAAACTGTAGACAATTATTAATATTATTATTTACATTGGTCTACCACATTTACATAATATTATTTTCACACTGTCCTGAATTTTAATCTGACCATTTTAATTTTAAAACTAAGGCATCGTACAAGGCTCTGTTATTGAATATATAATAAATAATATATACAGTAGGAATCAGGACTATATTCTACTACTTATTCCTTTAAATATTTTTTTTTCATGTGCAAAAATATTAAACAAAGTAATTTAATTCCTTATTTTTAGAGTTACGTATGGAACAACCTACCATTTTTTTCATATTTTCTGTTTTCATTTAGTTAAACTTTCAGTAATTTTTTAGTGTTTGTCATTTTAGATATTTATTATTATTATTATTATTATATCTGTAACATTTATTTTTATTCCAGTTTTAATTATATTAGTAGTTATACTATAATAACTATAACAACCTCAGGCAAAACAACCATAGAGAGAATTCAGGCACAGTAAATGTAAGGCTACAAGTTTGTTTACACATGGAGTACATATTTTACGCATTGAGAATTTTCATGACCACTTCCCACAAAAAAAAAAGAAAGATGACACATTCATTTTTATACACCCAAAGCCACATAGCATACACTCAACCACATCAAAGCATGAAGTCCTCACCACATCGCCACAGATGACAACACAAATACATCATCAACCACAATCAAACAAACGGCCCCAGCACTCACGCGTTTAGGCATTCACACACTGAGAATGCGTACAGACAGATATTTCAGCTGTCAGTTTATTCTCAGAAAGGATAATGGAATACGGCACTGTAAGGCATTGTGTTCATACCCTACACCACTCAGCACAGGTTTACATGCATCTGCTCCATACTAGCTAGTCATTATGTGCCTCTGGGCTGACATGGATTTGAATATGTTGTTTTCTTCAAGAACATAAAGGATCAAAATTGCCTGATTAGTGCCCCAGAGTCTTTCTGTCGTACCCTGTTTTGTTGGACGTTGAATATTGTCACAGTTTCTAACTTGTTGGTGGCTTCACGGATGACTAATCTGATTTCTCAATAGCTTTAGGAACCCAAATAAGGGCGACGGGGGTTAGCTGTCATATGGGGAAGTTGTCACAAGAGCTATATTTCAGTAACTATAAGGTTATGAGTAAAAGTTCAATTATTCAAATGCTTTTTACGCAAATGTTGGTTTCAAACATGTCTATTTATTATCGAATAATAATCAAAAAAAATTCTCATTGCTATGGTTGTTAGGTAAACAAGTGAACACAATAAAACCACACTGGAATACATTTAGGCAAGGGTCAACTGTCTAATGAAAATGCATTACAGGAGTTATTTACTGTATATAATGTCAGATTGGGCTAAAACAGAATTTTAATTGGGGCAAGTTGTCACATGTGCTTTTAAGCCTATTTGAATCTTTTAAATAGCAAGTTTTCATTGTGACAACTTACCCCATATAGTGTGACACCTGCCATGGGGTCATGGTGTTAAAACGTCAGCTCTTTTTTCCACAGTGGTGAAAATGTTCAGTACCTTTTTTTTCTGTAGCACTGAATGGTATGAGCTTTAACAATAACTGACTTTCAAACATAAGATGAAGTCAATATTCACTGGAAGGAAAAGTGTGACAACTAGCCCCAATCTCCCCTATTTGATTGCAAATACTAACTTTGCATTTGGATTGGTAAAGATAGAACACTTAATCAATCATTGCCTGATATAGCGACTCAGAGCAGAAGTAATTAGCATCTGGACTGGGATTTTGCAGTAATCTGCACTGACAGTTCACAAAGACTGACTGCTGGTAGGATTGAAGTATGTTATTATTAAAACTGACATTTCCATTACAGGTTCATGGTTTGACGACAGTGGATTTAATTATGTACAGCTATGTATAAGAAAAAAAAACTGCTGTGGTAGGCTTTGATTCTATGATCAGTATACATATAACTACTATTCAGAGTGAGGAAATACTGCATACGTAAAGAATTTAGAAAGACCGAGACAACTCTCAACTCTGTTGTTTTTTATTAGGGACATTTTGTGACAGCAGATCTGCCAACTCAAATAGCTTGACTAGACAAGGACAGACTAATATCAGCACTGGACCAAAGACAGTGTAGGTCACTGTGCATCACTCTGTCATCTGCTCCAAGAGAAAGACATGCTGTTGCTGAGTCTCACACTTCATCCACCAAAAATATCCAGATGTATATCATTATTTTAAAGTGTGACAAGTCTAAATATGTATTTGAAATACCTATAATATTCTCTTAGCAAAAAATGGATGGCAATCAGTACATTTTGTTGCAACCCAGGCTCAGGAAAAATACATGCATGTGGCGATGTTTTTGCAAAAATTACTGTATATTATGTTGTTTCTTGCATGTTTCTTGAGTGGCACTAAAAAGCATTTTTCTTTGGAAAAATGTTGATCGAGGCATGTTTGTCCAATGAGCCTGAGTTGCTTTATTAACTTTGAAATTTTATTCTAAAATGAGCATTATTCTCAGGCTCCTATTTGTAGGTTCAGTAATTTCACTTTAATGGCAATAAATAGGTTATTTTCATTGCCATTAAAGTAAAATAACTGAACACAAACATAGGTATATATATATATATATATATATATATATACACACACACACACACACACAATAACGATTTCTGACATAAGACATGTTAACAAGAGTGTCTCTTGATAATTGAAGATAATACAAAATGCACACATGCACAATGTAAAGCCAGATGTTTGTTCACATTTGCGCTACTCTCACTTTAATTTTCATCTGCTGGACCGCTCATTGGAGCGGAATGTTCCAATAGATGAGAGCGGCTCACCCCCAGCGGGAAGAACACCACATCGTTTCTGTTTTCTGCCAGTGTACCTTTCACCATGTGCATTAGGACCAACTGACCAGCCTTACCCTCTGGCTCTCGTTCCTTAACAAACCACTTGGCTTCCAAAAGCACTAATGCTCTCTTTTTCTTTGCCTTCAAGGGGTATTTTAGTCTTTTTTTTTAGCCTGTTTCACTCCTCTGCCTCTTGTGCCAGTTTTGCGTATTTGTATTGTAAAAGGCAGATTAGGTAGCTCCTGTTGCATTATTGATACGATTTTGTCACAAAGCATTGATTGCGCTTTGAGTTATTCTGCCAGCCCCGTTTCTCTTGAATACTTTCATCAGAGTTTTTGAAGTCCAGAGAAAGACACAGAACAGAGGG